GGCAATGAGGAAAGCGAGGAAGTAGAGGGGAAGTCGAGAGGGGGAAGGGGAGCAAAGATTAGCGGAAGAGTGCAAGTGCACCATCGGCATCCCAGAGAGAACGGCGGTAGCTCATTGTGCCATCAGGGACACAAGAGCCACGCATGCAGAGGTGGCGGGCCAGAAGAATAGCTAGGCTGAGCCGAGCATTAACGCAGCCACGCACCACTGAGTAAGGGCGGTATAATGAGGCCCCGGATTCCCCATCATTCGGGGAACTGGTGGTGGGCTACAATAGAACATCCCAGCCTTTCTTACTTACCACGAATTGGCTCAGCATACTAGTCTACATCCAAATACCTTTGTCCTGGGCCCAAGAGATAGTTGGATGGACCCGTGGAGACGTCGGTCACCGTTCCAACGAGGGAGCCTCTTGAGACGAAAGTGGAGCCACACAAAACGTCTACTCTTCTAGCTAGTCTAGGCTCTTCCAGTGGACTGCGGCTCTCACACACACACAATCAAGGACTTTCTTCTGCTCACCTCCCAATCGTGGAGCCGTTCGTGATGGACTGGTTTGAGACTCACTCGATTCCATGGATCTTACCTACAGCAGAAAGACTGCCAGAGACTTCTTCGGGAATCACTGAACTTAATCCGCTGCTTGTAGTGGCGGTACCCAAGAGGAAGAAATCAAAGTTTGTCGCATCGTACTGTATCTATAGTTTCATAGTGTTTTCTCTCTACTCTATGTAGCTAGAATCCCGGAATTCTCAATTGATCACAATACCTCCACAAGATCACGGGAGACACTAGCGAGTCCACTTCATGAATAATAGCGTTTCCCAATTTCAAGGAACGCAATATCTTGGCTTCTGGTCCCACAATAATTTCCGTGGACGGTCCATCCTTGGAATCGGCACTCTGCTCACTGCTACTACTACCACCACCACCCAGTAGATTGCCCCAAAAATTATTGCCATCTTTGGTTTTGAATCGTCCAATGGGAACTTCTCCTCCCAACGTGACGAGTGCCCCGTATTTGAGTGCCGGCAATCCTTCGGGTGTCTTGGGGACGGTCCAATCTTCGCGATTGAGTTGCGTCATGCTGAGGGCTTCTTCGGCGACAATGTGATAGAGTCCCATTTTTTGAGCCGTTTCCAAATTGCGGGGATCATCTAGCTGTTGTCGCTTCTTGTCCTCCAAAGCGGCAAATGCGGCCGAATTGGGAGCGAAAATGGTGTAACCGGAAGAATCATCATAGGCGTCTTGGAGTTGGGTAAAGACATTCTCGTTCTTGGACAAGAGAGAATAGAATTCGGGATAATTATCTTGAATGACGCTTTCAATCGTCACGGATTGTTGTTGCTCTTGTTGCGTATTGTCGGATTCGCTGCTGCTGCTGCTAGACCACAAACGAGTGCAAGAACTGGTCGCCAATGTGTTGGTTGTGGCAAAGGCATCGGCCCAAGTCCACAAGGTCGCCAAAGAAGCGCATAATAGGAAGGATCGAATCGTCATGATTGTCATCAAACTATTTCAGAGTAGTATTATATGACTGCACCAGACTGCAACTAGTTGGTAGGAGCTTTCCCGAACTGATTGTGTCAATGATACAGAGAGGTTGCCGCTATCATACGACTGATTCAGTGACATTTGACAGCTCTTTGTCCAACACTCGAAGAAGATCTTTTGCAGAAAGGACGAATCTTTGACTCGGAAGCGTACGTCAGCACCAGGGGGAAAACGGTGTCATCCAATTCCTCACCGCAGTCTCACGCGCGCCCACGCTGCCCAGAGCTCGGAGGTGCCCACGGATCCTCCTTTCTTGCGCTGGCTGCTAGCTAGTAGATAGCTATTATAGAGACTACGAACTAGCTAGATCTAGCTGGCTAGGTGTACTTGTAGACTAGGTCTGGATGTACCGGTACAGTCTTGGCTCAGAATTATTATTCTACTTTTTCTTGAGCATTGCTCAATAGCGGACGGTTTTCGGCACTGCTCGCAGCTCTCGCTCTAAAGCAGGGAGTGGCATGTCACCACCCCAAGACAAACGAGGGACACTACAATCTTCCAGTTCATTCTTGCTAGATTTTTGCACAGTGCGCTGACGCTTAGCTTAGGCTCTAGCAAAGTGCATGGAGACAATTCGAAACATCATAACCGTGTTGTGCTTGAGTATAGAACAGGCAAGCAACAGGTTGGCCAACCTGTCTCTTTTACTTATGGACTGAAATTAGTAGTTTAGAGTGATGGTCACTTGAAGAGATGTTCCAGGCGTAGATCCACTATATGGTATGGCCGCAACCGATATGGCTGTACCAGAAGGATCAGAAACTTGATCCCAAAAAATGCCATAACTCCACTTGTTGTCACCCAAACTGGAGGCAAGAGTTAAAGTACCACCATTTTGTGACCCCCCAATAACCTGAAAAAACACATTGGTAACCAACGGATCATGAACTTCTGCCCAAATCCCAAGGGAAGAGGTGCTGGGATTGATGCTTGTATCCCCTGTCACCAGGTACAATGCACCTCCGCCAGGACCTGTATCACCATCATACACACTAAAACTAACAACCTCATTGGGAGAGGATGTTGTAGGAATTGTCGTTGGATTAGAAGAAGGTGATTTTGAAGGAACAGCACTTGGGGCACTAGAGGTGGGAAATGCAGTTGTAGGGCTTGTAGTTGGATTAGAAGATGGCACATGAGAAGGTGCCATGGATGGAGCATGAGAAGATGGCAAGGCAGAAGGAACTGAGGATGGGACATGAGAAGGCACTGTGGAAGGTTCCACTGAAGGGGATCTTGAAGGAACAGCACTTGGGGCACTAGAGGTGGGAAAGGCAGTTGTAGGAATTGTCGTTGGATTAGAAGATGGCACATGAGAAGGTGCCATGGATGGGGCATGAGAAGATGGCAAGGCAGAGGGAACTGAGGATGGGACATGAGAAGGCGCTGTGGAAAGTTCCAATGAAGGGGATTTTGAAGGAACAGCACTTGGCAATTGGCTGGGTGTGGAGTAGTTTATAGTGATGGTCACTTCAAGAGGTGTGCCACCACCCACGCCACCAACAATGGGTAAGGCCGCGACCGATATGGCTGTACCAGAGGGATCGGAAACTTGCTCCCAAAAAAGGCCATAACTCCACTTGTTGTCACCCAAATTGGAGGCAGGTATTAATACACCCCCATGTGACCCCCCAGAAACCGTAAAAAAAACCAAGCCCACCAACGGATCATGAACATCTGCCCATATCGCAAGGGAAGAGGGGCTGGGATCGGTGATGGTTGTATCCTCTGTTACAAAGTACAATGCATCTGCACCAGGACCTGCAGCACCATCATACACACTAAAACCAACAACCTCATTGGGAGCGAATGCTGTAGGACTTGTAGTTGGATTAGAAGAAGGCACATGAGAAGGTGCCATGGATGGGGCATTAGAAGATGGCACTGTGGAAGGTTCCAATGATGGGACATGAGAAGGCACTGTGGAAGGTTCCAATGAAGGGGATTTTGAAGGAACAGCACTTGGGGCACTAGATGTGGGAAAGCCAGAAGGAGGACTGCTTGGGATGGAGCTGGGAGCGCTGCTCGGGTTGGAGCTGGGATCAGGGCTCGGAAGCTGGCTCCTGCTTGGGCTGAAGCTGGGTAGACCACTGGGTTTCTGACTCGATGTGGGCGCGTTGCTTGGGTTCGTGCTGGGAGAGCTGCTAGGGCTGCCACTGGGGGAACTGCTTGGTAGCTGGCTAGCGCTGGGGCTGAAGCTTGGTTGGGTACTGGGACTTCCACTGCCAGAAGGGGACGACTTGGGATGGAGCTGGGAGCGCTGCTGGGTTGGAGCTGGATCAGGGCTCGGAAGCTGGCTCCTGCTTGGGCTGAAGCTGGGTAGACCACTGGGTTTCTGACTCGATGTGGGCGTTGCTTGGGTTGTGCTGGGAGAGCTGCTAGGGCGCCACTGGGGAACTGCTTGGTAGCTGGCTAGGCTGGGGCTGAAGCTTGGTTGGGTACTGGATCACTGCCAGAAGGGGACGACTTGGGATGGGGCTGGGAGCGCGCTGGGTGGCTGGGATCAGGGCTGGAAGCTGGCTCCTGCTTGGGCTGAAGCTGGGAGACCACTGGGTTTCTGACTCGATGTGGGGCGTTGCTTGGGTTGTGCTGGGAGAGCTGCTAGGGCGCCACTGGGGGAACTGCTTGGAGCTGGCTAGGCTGGGGTGAAGCTTGGTTGGGTACTGGGACTTCCACTGCCAGAAGGGGAACGACTTGGGATGGAGCTGGGAGCGCTGCTCGGGTTGGAGCTGGATCAGGGCTCGGAAGCTGGCTCCTGCTTGGGCTGAAGCTGGGTAGACCACTGGGTTTCTGACTCGATGTGGGGGGTTGCTGGGGTTTGGCTGGGAGAACTGCTAGGGCGCCACTGGGGGACTGCTTGGAGCTGGCTAGGCTGGGGCAACTTGGGGGTCTGGGATCACTGCCAGAAGGGGACGACTTGGGATGGAGCTGGGAGCGCTGCTCGGGTTGGAGCTGGGATCAGGGCTCGGAAGCTGGCTCCTGCTTGGGCTGAAGCTGGGTAGACCACTGGGTTTCTGACTCGATGTGGGCGCGTTGCTTGGGTTTGTGCTGGGAGAGCTGCTAGGGCTGCCACTGGGGGAACTGCTTGGTAGCTGGCTAGTGCTGGGGAGACCACTCAGTTCTTGACTCACAGTTGGAAAGTCACTGGGGATAGACCTTGGGATGCTACTGGGAGTTTGACTTGGTCTGCTGCTTGTACTGGCAGTGGGGGATCCACTAGGATACTTGCTTGGAGAGGAACTTGGTGACTTGCGGAGGCTCACACTTGGATATTCGCTGGGTGCTTGACTAGTACTAGGGCTGCCACTTGGCAGACTACTGGGGTTTTGACTCGCAGTTGGAGATTCGCTCGGGATTGAACCTGGGGAACTGCTTGGAGAGACACTTGGAGCAGTGCTTGGTAATTTGCTGGTAGTGGTGCTGATGCTGGGAAGACTGCTGGGTTTTGCACTTGCTGAAGGAGAATCACTTGGCACAGTACTCGGAGCAAAACTGATCTTGCTGCTTGGCTGGTTGCTGGGACTAAAACTTGGGTCTAAACTTGGGTGCTGGCTACTGCTGGGGGGGATACTTGGGAGGCTGCTGGGAGGAAGACTTAAAGTGGGAGATTCACTGGGGACCACACTGGGCGATTCACTCGGTGATAGACTTGCACTTGGTTGGAAACTTGGTAGAAAACTTGGCTGTGAGCTTTTTGATGGGGTTTCAGTGGGTGTCTGGCTTGGTGATTGGCTGGTACTGGGGGCTGTGGATGGACTGGGTGTTGGACCTGTAATATCTAAGACTGTGACTCCTTCCTCAACAGTGATCTTGTTCAGTTCGCCCATAAGAGGCAGAAGGTACCATCTTTTGGTAAGGTCATCTTCAGCTTCTACACTGCCAGAAATTTCGAACTCAACCAGTTCACCACTACCCGTGATTTGAAGATGACGACGTTGAGCAATTCTGCCCAGTACTGAAACACTTCGAACTTGTGGAACACACCCTGACAACACGTATTGCACAGACTGGCTTGCAGTCCACATGGCATCCTGTAAAAATTGGTTTGTCAGGGAAGAAGATCCACTGGAGAATGTAACTGCAATGATCGAGCTTGCATTCATCAAAGGACTGTTGCAGATTGTTCTTGTTGGTGATAGAGTGGGAGGAATGGAAGGAAATTCGGATGAAAAGCTTGATGGGGCTTCTGATGGCACTGGTGATGGCATGATGCTTGGAGTGTTGGAAGGCCATGTGTGTGGGAAAACTGAAGGTGATGCTGATGGCTTAGGAGTGGGCTCTGAAGTTGGTTCTGGTGTGGGCTCGGGTGTTGGTATGCTTGAAGGGTTTTCGCTGGGCAATACCGATGGGCTTTGACTGGGTCCTGATGAAGGAATCTTGGTAGGGACTATAGAAGGGTCTGGCGTTGGCGCTGATGTTGGAAACGAAGTTGGGGCTGGGGTGGGAAAAGTAGATGGTCTCCGTGATGGTCGGCTGCTGGGAGCTGCTGAAGGTGAAGATGAAGGTTTGCTTGATGGAAAAAGAGTAGGATTTGAGGTCGGGGCTTTTGTAGATGGTGCTGGAGTTGCCGTGCTTGGAGTTGTTGAGGGGGCACTAGTTGGTTGGGTTGTTGGAAGCAATGTTGGAGGCGGTGAAGGACTCAATGTTGGGAGGGTTGTGGGAGTTGTGCTTGGGCTTCCTGTAGCAATTGGAATCACTAAAGAAACACTGGTGTTACCATAAGAGACATAGCTCAGTGGCTGGGACTGACCCACGGGAGCTTCAGTGTTGTTTGGAGGCAGAGTGAATGGGGCCAAAGATGCATCTCTGAAGACATTGGTTTGTATACTTGGAGCTGCACTAGGAGCCACAGTTCCATTCCTGGGATCCTCTGTGACCTCTTTGGTTATGACCACAGTTATGGTGAAAACAGGAGTTGTGACATCGTCAGGGACTGATACAGGGCTCGTGCCCATTGTTGGAGCAGTCTCATTTCCTGCTGCTGGATTTATGTTCGTTGGAAAGACAGGGGTTTCTGTTCCGTTCCCTGATATTGGATAGTTGACAGTGTAGTTGCCTGGTCCACCCAAAGTAGTGCCACCAGAACCCGGTGAAAAAGTGCCATCTTGGAGATTTCCAGGGCCATTGCCGCCTTGGGCTGCATCTTGGGCTGCCTGTTCTGCTTCCTGCTTGGCGTCTTCTTCCTGTGCTATGATGATGTTGGTGTTGAACTCCACCAGGAAGTCTATGGTGGTGGTGTTCTTCTCTTCATCTGGAGATGAGCCAATGGGACACAAACATACATCCAAAGCTTGTTGTAGCCTGCGGCTAGACGGAAAGGTCACCGGTGTCATTCTCTTATTGTTCAAGGCTTGTGGTGACAATAAGTCATCCTTGTTGTACCCCAACAGGTTTCGCCGGAACGAATCATCAAACAGATTGAATCCTCCCGTGTCACTGATTGGGCAATTCCTACATCTTCCTGTAACTTCGAACAGTACTCTATCTCGTCTTTGAGGTGGAGCAGTTGATTCTGTGGAATTGTTGGGATCCGTAGAATTTCCCAACATTGTGCTGTTGCTTAACATTGTGCTGTTGCTTTCGGTTGCAGCCTGCAACCTGCGCCCTGACAGTTCTCTGGTTACAACCAAACCAACATCGGAAACCACTCGGAAGAACTCATCACAGGCCTCAAATGACAAAGTGTTGTAAGTTTCCAAGAATACTGTTTCCAAGGTCTTCTTGGTCCTTTCTGGAAGCAGCGATGGATCAATTCCTAAATCAGCGTAGACGAACGATTTGAAGGGTCGAACCTCACCATCACAGGGGACTGGCTGGCCCTCTACAACATTTTCTGGCACAGTCTCAATTGACACCACATCTCCAGCGGCCTCCAGTGCAGTAATCTCATCATTCAATTCCATTTCAAACTCTTCAGAGCTGGGACCTTGACCAACTACAGGATCCTCTCCAACTGGACAAACACAGGTGCCATCTTCTTGTTGTTGAAGATTCCTGTTCACAGCAGCTTCGAAACTATCCTTTGGAATGATGTTCGTATGCAATGCCCGTCTGCGGCGGAAACCATCATCAAACAAGTTAAAAGTGCCAGTTTCAGTCACAGGGCAACCCCGACAATTTCCAGTCACAGCAAACATTGTGGGGACAACTTCGTTCCGACGATCCTGCTGTTGTGGCAGGGAAGTGGCATTTGATGTACTGTTGAAAATTGTACCGTTTGTGCCGTTGTTTGCACTTTCAGCCAGATCACGCTCAAGCAGAGCATCTTCCAATCTCCTTCCTCCTTGACTGCCATCGGTTGAAGCAATACGGAGCTCCACCTTGACTACAGTCCGAAAGTAGCCATCACAGGTCATGTAAGCCAAACGATTGTATGATTCTTGGAAGACGCGCTCCATCAGGACAGCCTCTTCCCTATTGAAACTAGTGAAGTTTACTTGCAGATCAGTGAATACAGCAGCTTTAAAATCGCTGACCACAATCCCACACGGCACAATTTGCGCTTCTTGTACCTCTTCCGCCGAGAGAGTAGATTCCACTTCCTGTAGATCTTCCAGTCCTGAATTATAGGTGTCAATGAAGTCGTCTTGGCTCAGAGTGGGTGCATCTGTGCTTTTATCCTCGTCTTCCAGAGGACACAGACAAACCTCATCTTGTTGGAGGGCCCGAACAGGAAGGCTGTTCTGTAATCCCAACCTATGGTGCTTGCTTTGCTGGGCAGCACTACGCTGTCTTCCAGGCTGCAACTTTCTCCGGATGCTCACATCATCAAAGAGTGTAGAGCTCCCAGTGTCACTAATGGGACAATCTCGGCATTGCCCCTCTATATTGAAGATTGCCCTTGCAGTCTCAAAGGGGCGA